AGTAGTAGTAGTAGTAGTAGCATCATTACCATGATCACCTCAGGCCTGCTATCTCAACTGCTTTGGAGATTATCAACTGAACATCAGATCCCGGATAGTTCTGAAAAAAATAATTACAACCATAATTATATTAATAATAACAATTATATTATTATTATTATTATCATTATCATTATTATTATTATTATTATTATTATTATTATTATTATTATTATTATTGTTACTTGGACTAATTTGACGTTTTGGGAGAAATCACCCAACAGAATTTCCTTCCTCTTCAGCCTGACACACGGAATAATAATAATAATAATAATAATAATAATAATAATAATAATAATAATAATAATAGTAATAATAATAATCACCATCATCATCACCACCATCATCATCACTATCACCATTACTATCATCACCACCATCATCGTCGTCGTCGTCACTATCATCATCATCACGAACATTATCATCATCATCAACAACATCATCAACATCGTCATCATCATCATCGCTAACGTCAGCATGGCACAGCAGATGAAGGTGAGGAAGTCGAATCTCTTCTCGTCTGAGAACAGCGAATCCCATATTCGAAGCGTGTCTGGAGGAATGAATGAACGAATGAGTGAATGAATGAATGAGTGAATGAATGAGTGAATGAATGAATGAATGAACGAATGAATGCAAACATACCTGGCAAAATGAATTCCTGAGTTAGAAGAATGGTGAACCATCTGTTTGTTTGTTTGTTTGAAAAGAAATCATCTGATTCATTGATTGAATAATTGGTTGATTGATTGAAGAATGAATGAATGAATGAATGGATGAATGAATGAATGACTGATTGGCAAGTGAAACAAATGAACCTAAACGCGAAGAACTGCGGTTTAATTTCTTGCTCATGCAACTTCTGCCAGACCTCCGGGTCGACTGATTTCAAGGTGTTCAGGAATCGTTCAAGTTTGAAAACTGGTGGCGGTTGTCAATCAATCAATCAATCAATCAATCAATCAATCAATCAATCAATCAATCAATCAATCAATCAATCAATCAATCAATCAATCAATCAATCAATCAATCAATCAATCAATCAATCAATCAATCAATCAATCAATCAATCAATCAGTCAACTAACTTATACCACAGGCCGAATCGTCGAGATGTTTGATGAAGTTATCCCTGATCTCGCTCATCAGATTGGTGAAACACCAGAATGTGTCTGCTTCACAATGAGCTGATTGGCGGGTTGGTTGGTTGGTTCATTCACTCCTTCATTCATTAATTCATTCATTCATTCACTCACTCATTCATCCATTCATTCATTCATTCCTTCATTCATTCCTTCCTTCATTCATTCATTCAGTCCCTCGGCCACTCAACCTTGATTAGCGGTATCATGGAATAGTACATAGTAGATTGGACCCATAATTTCATTCATACCCTAAGTAAGTGAGAGGATGGTAGAATGAATGAATGAATGAATGAATGAACAAACGAATGAATGAATGAATAAATGAATGAACAAACGAATGAATGAATGAATGAATGAATGGAAGAACAAACGAATGAATGAATGAAAGAATGAATGAACGAATGAATGAACGAAAGAAAAAAATGAATAAACTAATGATAGAACACTGAATGATAAATTAGAGACAACAGAATTTCGCGAAATGAAATTAACTCACGCAAATTAATCCACAAATGCAAATTAGAGTTAACTTATGCAAATTAGAATTAAAATATGCTAATTTATGCAGACCTGAACGTATCCCTGGCCCGGATTTAGCTTGGCGTAAACGAATAACAATCTTCTTATGACCTCCCAATGTGCTTCGTAGCCTTTTGATTGGTTGGTTGGTTGGATGGTTAGATGGTTGATTGATTGATTCATCCATTCAATCATCTATTCATTAATTAATTAATTAATTCATTCATTCATTCATTCATTCACTCATTCATCGACTCAGTTGCAACCTGGTGAAATATCAT